CTAATCTTGCCCCTGCATTCCTGTGTTGTTTGCCTATATTCATCCTTTGTAATTTTTTAGATCATGCAAGATCTCGTGGTTAAGCCAAGGTGGAGATGGAGTCAGACTCAGACAGTCTTTTTTCAGTGCCCCACCCTGGCTCAGACAGCAGGCAACATGCCCACCTATGTCTCTTAGCCTCCCTGAGAGCAAACTGTCCCCCCACCCCCGGAGCCATGCACAATATAGGGGAAACTGAGGCACACACAGGATTCATAAAACATTACAGAAAATTCCCACTTCATCTGGCTTCAGCTTCCTGCCACTGGATCTCGCCAGGCCTTTCTCCATTCAATCCAAGAGCCCTTTGGGACCTGGGATTTTCTCCCTGGGAAGGGCCTTACAGCCTGCACTGATCTCTCCATCTCTGCTGTGATGAGCTACCCAGGCTGCTGGGTGGAGCTGGGGCTGTCCCCAGCAGGGTGGGAGTGTCACGGAGTTTGGGGGGGACAAGGCCCTGCACCCCCGGCTTCCTGCGATTCACCGTGACTCTCAGCCAGGCAGTAGAACAGAAGGTTTATTAGACGACAGGAACACAGTCCAAACCAGAGCTTGTAGGCATAAACAGGACTCCTTAGTCAGGTCCTTCTGGGGGTAGGAGTCTTGGACCCCAGTCTTGGGGCTCCCTCCAATTCCCCAGCCAGCCCAAAACTGAAACTCTCCAGCCCCCACTCCCCCCTTGTCCCTTTCCCGGGCCAGAAGGTCACCTAATCTCTTTGTTCTCCAACACCTTCAGCTAGCACCTTTGTAGAGGAGGGGCCCAGGCCATTAGTTGCCAGGAGACAGATTGTTGGCCATTCTCTGTCCAGACAGCATCACATCTGCCCTCTAGGGCTCTGCAAAAATCACACCCCCTTCTCCCACCACCTAGATAAGAAATGCATAGGGGAAACTGAGGCACCCACACAGTATTCAGAGAAAACATTAAGAACAGTCCCACTTCCTCACAGGGAGCAGCTGGCTGCCTCCTCGGGGGCCCTTGCTGCAGCGGGTGGTCCTCGGACCGGCCCTGTCCCAGCCATGACGTCTCCCCCTCCCCCCCGCAGGAGCCTGGGCCTTCCAGCTGACGGCTTTCGACGCCGATGGTGACCCATTATCCTATGGCATGAATGGGCAGGACGCCTACTATTTCTCTGTCAACGCCATGACGGGCGATGTGCTGCTGGCGGCCTCTCTGGACCGTGAGGTAACGGGGCGGCCTGGGGCTGCTGGGCACGGAGATGATAGAGACCAGAGCCAGGGCAGCGGGCGATGCTCCGGGGCCCTCACAGCTACTCTGACCTTGTGCAGCCCAGATGGCACCAGGCCTGCTCCCTGCAGCCCCTTTCCCGGGCAGTGCCAGGCAGCAGCCGTAGGACTCCCACCCCCACAGGGCCTGGCACTCTCGGATCCCACGGGGGAGAGGGCACCCTTGGCAGTGGCACCAGGAGCCTCCCTGGGGAGGGGCAGCTCCCCGGCGGAGCCCCAGGCCACTCCCCCGTCTCTGCCCTCTGAGCGGGGTGCTGGAGGGAGCCCCAGAGCAGCTCCCCCGGGGAGCACTGGGACGGGGGCAGGGGCTGGCAGGGTTTGGGGAGCTGATGCACAGCCCCTCCACAGCAAAGGGAGCGGACGTGAAAGGAGTCCCAGGCTGGGGTCGCTGGGGGCTGCAGATCGGGAGTGAGGGGCGCTGCTGTTCCCTTGTCCCCTACAGGAACACTTCCCCCCACACCTGCGGGGAGGGGACCTCTGGGGAGCGCAGCTCGCTTTGGTCCCAATGAGCTGCCTTGTGTGGCACTGAAGTGAAATATGGGGCGAGTCAATGGGAACGGGGAAGGGGGGCAGGAGGGAGCTGGGGCATCCCTTGAGCAAAGCTCCCCCCACTTTGTGTTTCCTTCCAGACAAAAGAGAAACTCAGTGTCACCATCACAGTGACAGACATGATCAACACCGAGGTGAGGGAGCGGGCGGTGCAGGGGCTGTGCCTGGGGGAGCGGGGCAGGGCGGGGG